TTTTTTTTTTTTTTTTTTCCCTTCCAATTCCACCAGCACCCCTGCCACTTTGGAGCAGAACTACATAGTTTGTGAACTGCAGCAAAAAATAAGTGTGTTATATTCCTTTTTGAAAAGCCATTTGAAGAAGAAGAGTATTGTGTTTTTCTCCAGTTGCAAAGAGGTACCAACTGTTTATTTTTTATTCACATTTAATCATCCAATTTGAGATAACAAATTTCAGTTAGACTAGTAATTACATTGTTGAGCCATATAGTGTTAGTTGTGAGGGATCTATGGGTAATGAGAATCTTGTGTTTTTGTTGTGAAAGAATGGGTGGGTGAGACTTTAAGCTCTGTGAGGGCAGAAGCTATCTTTTCTTTTGTGTTATGGCAGGTACTAACAATGCTGGAAATATAATGGCCTTCAATAAATGGTAGTGAGGCTAAGTGTTCATAATCTGCTATCTTCCCTCCCCTACCTGAATATGGAACTGAATATGCTCTTTTTACTAAGCCTCATGTCTTTGCTCAATCTGATCTCTGTCTGATCTCTGTCTGGAAGGCCCTTCCTATATTGATTTAGTTAATTATGGGGAAATGGTGCTTTTTAAGGCTAAGCTTGAATGTCACACTTGGAAGTCCTTTTCTGACATTTTTTAGAATTGCTTCCTTCCTTATCCTTCTGCAGTAGCATTTTGTTTCTACCTTTATTAGTTTATAAACATTTCTTGAATACTAACTAGCTCTGTACTAGGAATAAGGGATTGAGGATGTGTGAGAAAGCTTTGTCCTTCTCCTTTAAGGAGATGGGGGACCATGATCAAATGACAAATATGTACCACTCTTCCTCTGTATTCCTGATTCTGGATGACATACATGTATAGTTGGAATATTCTGGACTGATGGCTTCTGCAGTAGTTTAGCATGGTAAATGTGCAGGTGAGTTTCCCTCTTGTTTGGCAGAAGATAAGTGGTGGTCAGTCTTTATTTTCTGTTCAGCTCTATCATTTTGCTATGTTAAAAATGACTTCAGATCTTTTTCGGACCTAGTTTCAGTTGTTCAGAATTTTATGTCTATTAAAGACAGGTTGGTTTTAGTATGTAGAGCTAGGAAATCTTCAGAGCTCTGTATAGAGCAGTGGTGGTGAACCTATGGCATGAGTGCTGCATTTGGCTGCTGTATCATTGAAAGCTCTGAAAGGTTCACCATCACAAAATTTAGAGTTTCTATTCTGTAATACTTTGAATTTCCCCTTGCTACAAAAGACAGTTGTCTTTGCTTGTTATCTATGATAAATCTTTCTTCTGTACTCCACTTCCTTTCCTTCCATCTACATGAAGCCTTTGCTAATGCAAATACCCTCTTCTGTTCTCCTTACTGTTACTTAATTTTGCTCATATTAAAAATAAAAAAATTTGGTATCCCTTCCCAATCACTGCTTCTTTTTTCTGTTTGTCACAGCAGTCTCTTCTAAAGACATCTCTATTAGCTGAATCACTTTTTCACTTCCGCTTGACTGCTGCATTTTAGAGTGCCTCTGTCTTTGCCTTTTTTCCATTCTGGCTTTCTTCTAGGTAATCCATTTAGTTTTATGATTGTAAATTCCATCTCTCTGCTAAAACTGCCAAATCAGCCTCTGAATTGGAGTCCTGAATTGGATTTCATTTTCCAGATCTAGAGTTGTGTGTACTTTTGATTATTGGGTTTTAAAAATTGTGTGTGTAAAATTCATCTCACAGTTTAACATGTGAAAAACACCTGCTTTCCAATCCCTGAGTTTTGCTTCTCCCAGTTCTTCCTCATCTCAGTAAATGACTGAATTCCTAATTCCTGTTTGTCTTTATCCCATATTCAAGCTATTGATGTAACTCATTAGCTCTAGCACTTCTCACCACCTCCCATGTTCCCTTGCATTCTGGAGCATGTTTAACTTTTCCTCCTAGCCTCCTAATTGGTTTCCCCATTCCTTCACTTTCTTTTTCTTTTTTTCTTTTGGTACCAGGGATTGAACTCAGGATCTTGCACTTGTGAGGCAGGCAGCAGAATCACTGAGCTAAATCTCCAGCCTTTCCCTCACTTTGTTTTCTGTAGTTTTCTACTTTATAGTGAATGACTTTGAAAGTGAGCACTGGAATGTCATTGCCTTGCTAAAAACCTGTCAATGACTTTCTGTGAGTTAGAATTTAAACGTGATACTTGTAGCCTCTCTACATTTATTTCCTATATGTCTTTCACCTTAGCCAGTTTGTCAAAGAGAAGCAATTCAAAGTCATTCTTGGTTCAAGAGATGTATACTGCAGAAAGTTTTCGTGAATTCAGTTTATACTTTCTGGATCTCCATGTTTATTTTTTCAGAGGTTGATTTACCTGAGAATACAATGGTGGCCTGCAGGTCCTCCTCTCTCCCTTGTCCCATTTCATGATGGTCTTTTTTCTATGTTTACAAGAAAAGGATTAAATCCGTTTACTACTAATCTTAAGGGTACATTTTCCTAGAAATGGGCCTTTCTGACATTAGAATATTGCTGTTGAGAAAGTAAATAACTAATAACTTGGTAACAAATTGTTACACATTTTATTTGGCTTCCATTCTTTACTTTGAACAGAGTGGGAGAGAGACTTTAATGATGTTCTTAGTTAATATATTATTATAAATAACTCTTTCATCGTTATCTTTAGCATGTTTTGTAGTTTGAGTTAAGACTTCCTTCAAGTTCATTTTCTGTTTATGTGAACAGATCTTAATGTGTTAGAAGAAATAGGGGTAAAATAATGCTGGCCTCTGCCTCGGTCTAACAGTCCACAGTATCCATTTAGGAGTACATAAAGAGAAACAGCTAAAGCAGTGGTCAGCTCCATCTAGTGCTGTACATTAAGATGTATTTACAGTAAAATTTTATTTATCGTTATTATTGAAGTTATTAAGTACTAACATTTCTTGTTTTAGTCAGTGCTGTTGTAATTATTGTAATAATTGCTTAATATGAGAAGACAATGCCTAAGATGGGCCTAAGAAGTTAAACTTAAAAGTATCACTTTGTTGTAATAATTTAGGAATTATTACATGATTATATAATAAAAGACTTGCAAGCTTAAACCCTAAGATATAGTTCTGTGGGCATCAGGAGATTGAACTGAGAGTTACAGGAGGAAAGGAAGTATGATTTTTTTCTGTTAAATGGATTTCTTTTTTACTTGTTTTGGGTGTCAAATATTTCTCTTAATCCACTGGGCATTTATTTAAAAAGTGTTTATTTTAAAACATTAATTTTATAGAAATTACATTCAAATTTGCAAATATTTTAGATATGAATTTAACAACGTGAGACCATTTCAAAATTCCTTTAGGAAATATATGAGCAAAAGGGTTTTTTTGTTTGTTTGTTTGGTACCGGGGATGAACTCTGGACCTTGTGCTTGCGAGGCAGGCGGCGGTCTAACTCCCTGGCCCTTGAGCAAAATGTTTTAAGACACAACTTGAATATATTTCTCTTTTTCTGCCTCATATGTGAAAGGTTTTTAATAGGCACAACTTGTGTACCTTAAATTTTTGTTGTTCATCTTGTTCATCCACACGTGCTGAACTCATCCTTTTGTTAATACTCAGGTTCAGTACCTGTACCGCGTGTTCTGCCGGCTTCGTCCTGGGATTTCTATCCTTGCTCTCCATGGCAGACAGCAGCAGATGAGAAGAATGGAAGTGTACAATGAATTTGTCCGCAAGACAGCTGCAGTGCTCTTTGCTACTGATATTGCAGCCAGAGGACTGGGTAAGAAAATTTACTAGAACGAAATTTCTGTGATTCTGGAAGACAGAATTCACTTATAAGGCATGTTTCAGGAAATGTAATAGACGCAAATAATTGGCAGTTCTCTGTTTTCCTTTTGTGGGATAAATTAGTACATTGGTAATAGTTGATTAATATTAAGGATTTGTCAGTGAGGCATCCCATAATATATGCATCTTTTTTGCCCTTATTATGTTTCATTATACATTCTTGTGAGCCTCCAAATCAGAGGAGTATTAAAGGTTTAAAGATGAAGGAAATTTTTCCTATTTCTTTGAAAATTACAAACATGTTTATTATAATTCATTTAACAAGAAAAATTAGTGGTCTGCCTTTTCAGAATCATCCTACTTTATATTTTAAAATCATAACATTTAATATACTTCAATTTTTTTCCCCAAAAAGCCATTGTATCACTATGCAGTTTGTAGCTTTTTCAGGATAGGATGAGGATTGAAGTGATCAGAACTTATATAGAGATACAAGCAAGAGATGAGAAGAAGTAAGCAGTAACTTGGATTCTTCAGTCATTTTATTTTGTTGTGTTACGGAAAATTTTAAACTCACATAAAATGAATAAATCTAATATACCTCACACAAATATCACTCCTCTGACATAGTTATCTTTTTTGTTATTTTCCCTTTCCTGTCCTTGTTACTCTAAAGCAAATCTCAGCCAATATTTTAGTTCATTAACATGTGATTGGACCCAATATTTTAATTTAATTTTATTTATTTTTTTGGTACCGGGGATTGAACTCTGGTCCTTGCGCTTGCAAGGCAGGCCACCGAGCCACTGAGCTAAATCCCCGCCCCTGGACCCAATATTTTTAGAGTTCTTGAGGCTTTTTTCTAAGTCCCATGACAATTCTTCCCCCTGCAACCCTCATTGCTATTTGAATATATAGTTTTGAAATATTCTGTAGTACCTTTTTCTATTTCTGACTTTGAACCTACGTTAGCAAAACCATGTTTTAAAGTGGAGTTTATTCTTTTTTAAATAATTTCAAAATCTTACACATAACATCTAGTAACAATGAACAGATAGTAATATTTTGAGTGTTATGGTAGGATTTAGTAGGTCTGTGAACTGCTGAACGGGAAGTGGGAAGACTTTCTGTTTTTTCACCAGCCCTTAAGTAAAATTTAGGATTATGAATTTAAGTAACAAATCATTGTATTTTTAGTAGTACTTTTGACTGTATTACTAATTGAAATTATATTTGTGTCTTAGTTTTTACAGTTATCTTGGAAAATTATTTACACTCAGTACAACTTAGCTGTGGTTATTGGACTCATAAAAAATTATACTAATTTAAAATAAAATTTATTTGCTAATGTTTGTTTATTTGCTTATTTATATATTTATTGAGACTGGGTCTCACTATGTAGTTGAGACTGACCTGGATCTCACTATGTAGCCCTGGCTGGTTGTGAACTCACAATGATCCTCCTGCCTCAGCCTCCTGAGTGCTGGGATCACAGGCATGTGCCACCATGCCCAGCTGTTAATGTTTTATTTAGCAAGGTTGTATGTTAACATGTCAAAAATTTAATAAAGTTGTTGCGGGGCATTTAGCTCAGTGGTTCTGCCTCATACCTCACAAGCACAAGGACCTGAGTTCGAGCCCTGGTACTCCCCCCAAAAAATTTAATACAATTGATATGTTCTATTATAAATTTTTCTTGTAGTCATTTGTATTTTATTTTGTATATGTAAGATATTCTGAGAAGGGGTTCACAAGCTTCAATTGTGGCACAAAAATGTCAGGAGCTTCTGTTCTAGTTTATGAAAAGCACTTCATGAATGTATTCATAAGCAATTTGTAGTATTTAAGTTTTTAAAAGTGCATATGGATTATAACATCATATATGCTGGCCTATAACTTGCTCTCATGTTGATGTATAAACACCTAGCGTATTTATTATGCAGAATGTCATATAGTAATAATTTATTCAGTTATTTCCATTTCTGTAAAAATGGACACTTACATTTCCAGTTCTTTTCTTGTAAAAATGTGCAACAAATATTCTGAAGAGCTCTCCTTGTGTCACTGTCCAAGAACTTCTTCAGAACACATTAATATTTTTTAGCTTTATTTCTTAAGAAAACATGCACATGGGGATAAAAATGAGTTTCAATGAATAGACCCTTCTCTACTTCTTCTATTCCCTAGAAATAACTACTTACTTACTTACTTAATTATTGATTCTTCTGTGCTGTGTAGCTTCATATATGTCTCAGGGATCTTACACTGCTACTTTTTAACTTAACAAATTTGGAAATTATCCAAAGATTTCCTTTCATTATCTCTCTAACAACCATCCCTTTTCTCTAAATTACCAGAAGTAGTTATCTTGGAGCAAGTTTCATTGGAGATGAGTGAAAACTGCTGTACCAGAAATACATTAATTTTATTTTTAGTCATATTCACAGTTGATGTCTGTCAGTTTCATGTTATGGAAAGTCAAGGCAAGCATTATTGTAACATAAAAATGATACAGTAGGCCAGTTCTTGAAAGTGATTGTTTTACTTAACATTCTTTCTATGTAGATTTCCCGGCTGTGAATTGGGTTCTTCAGTTTGATTGTCCAGAGGATGCCAACACATATATTCACAGAGCAGGTAGAACTGCCAGGTAGGTGTTCTGCCCCCCACCCACCCCCACCTCCAGGCACTGTGCTATTTAGATAACAAGACTGCTTCCTCAACTGCAGACAAAGAATGGAGAAACTAGGCAAGTGAGTGCTGGTTGGATAGTTTTCAGTGTGGATTGATAGTAACCTGACACCTGCTGTAAATCATATGCCTGAGACTTAACTGCTATTGAGGAAAATCCATGACCCTTATTTTAGATTATTTTAAATTAAGCTTTTCAAACTTTTTATCAGAACTGCTTGTTGAATATCATCTAATTGAAGGTTGATGACCTATTTTCAGATGAAGAATCTGAGTCTTTGAGTAGTTAGTATGTTGAAGGATCCAGAGCTAAAAGTTTGGAAATGGGAAGTTTGACTCCTCCGGTTGAGATCTTGTATTCTGACCTTCTGTGGTATAGTTTGTAATAATGAGTAGGGTGGTTTTTAGTCTTGGATTTCTTTTATTTCTTCTGGGGAAATTAGAGGCATCAGTGAGGGCCACTCCTAAATATTTTCTTTTCTTTTTATGTTCCTCTTCTCTACATCCCCAGTAAAAACATCCCATAGTTGGTAAAAAAAATCAAACAAGCTATAGGGAAACTGTCTAGAAAAGGAGAGACCAAAATCAGTTATTTGGAACCACATGGCATATTAAAGTATTTGAATACAGGAAAAGAATGACATGGTATGTGAGTGGTATGGAGGTTGCAGTTAAGTTAGAGATGTATGCTGTGGATAGAAATGTAAATGATTAAATGTAAATGCTTTCTAAGTAGCATTTAGTGATACTTATCAGAAGCCATAGAGTTTCTTTGAGAACTGTGAAATGAGAGTACAATAGTAAACTATTTCAAAATAGTATGATCTGCGTGTGGTACACCTGTAATCTCAGTGTCCTGGGAGGCAGAGGCAGGAGATCCTAAATTCCAGTCCAGCCTGAGAAACTTAGAGACTTAGTGAGCCCTTGTCTTACAATCAAAAGAGGACTATGGGGCCGGGAATGTAGCTCAGCAGTGCAGTGCCTGCTCGGCAGGCACGAGGCCCTGGGTTCAATTCCCAGTACCAAAAAAGAAAAGTGAAAAAATAAGACCAAAAATAAGCCCCTAAAAAAAAAAAAGACTGGGGATATAGCTCAGTGCAGAAGCTCTGGGTTCAAACCTTAAGTGTGCACTGGATGGTTCAAAAGTAAGTGTTTTAGTTCCAGTTAATAATACATTTTTTCCCTCTTTTTGAGACAGGGTCTTGCTATGTAGTTTAGGCTGAACTTGAATTCACTGTGTGTTCTAGGCTGGGCTCAAACTTGTGGTGATCCTCCTTCCTCAGCCTCCTGTGTGCTGACATTACAGGCATGTACCATCACGTCTAGCATAATACAGTATTTTCAATAAGCCGTAAAGGTAGTATAACCAACTCACTCTAGCTCTGGAGTCCTTGTTTTGGGGCAACAAAGATTGAAGCTGACAAAACAACAAACAGTAAACAGTGGGAAATGGCCAAATGCCTATTTTTTAGAAAGAATAAAAGAAAAGTTCCCCATTGTTTGGTGAGGGGTTCCATAAGATGGACTCTGTAGATATTTAAGTCCACTGGCTTTTTACAGTTTTTGGTACTGCTGTTAATAACAGAAAAACAGGTTCAGATAGATAGCCTTTGATGACTGAAAAGCAAGCTGCTTTTCTTTGCATTTCACTTCCTTCAAGGCTTCTCTTTTGGTTTGGACCTGTTCTTTGTCCCTTGAATTCTGTTAGGCCCTGATAGTTTGCTAAAGTTAGTTATTTGGGTCCTCTGGTATGTTAATTACTTAAGCACTAACTTTTAGTTTACTTTAGGTTAACTGTTCAAGACCTGTGACTTATCTGCCTAACTTGCCCTATCTTCTTGTTTCATTAAGACTACGTTTAGTCTACGTTGTCTTTGTGGATTAAGACAAACTAGCCTTTAGAATTTTGTTTTCTTCTGAGATCTAAAAGGAAAAAAGGAACATGGTTAGAATAGCAGCCTGTTCCTTCCATTTTGTAAGAAGTTACGTGGTGTCTCAGTGGTCTTTAATGTGTCGGGTACTTGTTTGAATAGTAGTGAATAGTGGTATCTTCTGAGAATTCATTAGTGGTAGTTGGTGAAATAAATCTCATATTGTTCTTAGTGAATGTATAGTATGTATAAACTTGTATACACACATCTGTATTTATTGTCTTGTGAGTCTTTGGCTAGGCTAAGTTGGATATGGTGTCTCACATGCATAAGGATTGCTTACATGCCGTTTACATGTGTCATTAATGTGTTTATGAACAAGTCAGACTGATTCCTTCATAGAACACAAGCAGTATTTTAAAATTATTTTCCCTGTATAAAGATTATTAGATATTTTGATGTATCAGGAATATGTCCAAGGGAGGAAATACTGCAGACTTTTTGCTACTGGAGAAATTATTGGAAATTTAATGTACAGTACTTGAACAGGCTGTGGTGAGCATTAAATTGGGTCATAATGTCTGGAGATGAAGAAGAGTTAGAACAACATTACAATGATTGTATCTGAAGAGAGAAGACTAATTTTAAAAATGTTTTAAAGTAGCTTTTAATGTGATTATTAATTTTTAAAGAAGTCTGTTTCACCCTTTATAACCAAATACATTCTGAATTGATGATTTTAGATGTATAGTCAGTGAAAAGGTAAACATAGAAATGTTTTTTTTAGCTGGGCATGCATGCCTGTAATCCAAGCATTCGGGAGCCTGAAGCAGGAGGGTCGCTAAGAGTTCAGGGCTATTCTGGACCACATAGTGAGTTTGAGGCCGGCCTGCACTACATAGGGAGACCCTGTCTCAAAAACAACAACAAAAAGCATTAAGAAATGCTTATTTTTTTTCTCTGGCAGTTTAAATGTTGCCCTTAATAGGTTTACAGATAATTAGAAAGTTTTGTGGGCCATGAGACTGAATAATTGAGTTGAATAAAGGCTAAATTAAAATTTGAAACTAATTAAAATCCTCTGTTAGGCTGTAATTAAAATCAGGTTGCCAGATAGTGTTTGCTTTTGGAATTGCATTATAATTCATGAATATAGAAAAATGAATTCATTAACAAAGTAGTTAAGGTTAGGAGAATCTGGTGTTTAAAAACTTTTTCTGTGTTTTAGCCAAATAAAAAGGATGATACAGAAAATTTTGCCTTCCACTATTTATTCTATTTTACCTTTATTTTAATCTGTCTAGAGTTATTTGAATCTATAGCAGTTGAGACATTTCCTTCCATTTTCCTTAACCATCTAGACCTCTCTGTTTTTTTGGTACTGGGGATTGAACTCTCGACCTTGTGCTTGGGAGGCAGACAGCGGAACCACTGGGCTAAATCTCTGATGTCCTAGATTTCTCTCAACAAATGATCTTTTGATGCAAATAGAGTAAGAGATATAAATATAGTGTTATAATGCTGGATCCTGAAGTACATCTTGCACTAAACAGTAATTCTATTTTAGATTTTCAGTTTTGTTACAAAAAAATAAAAAAAATCAAGCTCTTATTTCTTACAAACATGTGCAGTTGAAAATAGAAAAGATTTGAGAAAGGTACATACTTATTTGGGGAGGATAGGAAAGCTGTGGGTATAGGAAGGGAATTAATTGGGTTTCTGGTGTATAGGGAGGTAAGATCATTTCAGCAATATTTCATTTCATTCTTATTTACCAGGCTTTATTTTGTGGCTCTGAGATTTTGTGAGGAATTTAGGTAGCAAAATGTGATTCCACTAGGGGACAGCATAGGCCAGACCTTTGCATTGCACACTTGCTGGCTGCAGAGATCTTAACAGCAGGTATCAAGCTAGAAACCAGTTAAAATTCCTAAGTTGGGAAGGTTTCATGGTTTGTGGAAAATATTGGTTCTTTAAGGAATCAACAAGGATTTTTTAATAATCTTTAATTGGTTTATAAGTGGAAATAATAATGAAAAGACAATTTCCATGAGCATTAACTGAAATTTCTGTGAATATCTTATACATAAGGTGGTAACAGTATTAGCTAGTCAGATTTCTCATTTCTTTCATTCCCATAGCTGAGATTTGCTGAGGTCCTCTTGTCAGTCTGTTCCTCCAGGATGGAGGCCGATGCTTCTTTATGTGGCATTCTGCCTTCGTTGGTTTCTAGGATTTAAAGGCTTAAGAAAAGGGCAAAAAAGATCCTTTGCTTTTTATCCCAAAGCAGTGAGAAGCTGGGATAGAACATAGCCAGTGTGGCTATAGAGGTAGATCAGGGTCTGCCTTTTCTTGGGAGTCTTACCATTTCCTAAGCACTTCCCCACCCTTACTCTCCTACTGTCTGCTCACTGTTGTAGGTAGTGATCTTTTAAACTCAGGTCTTGTCTGATGGCTTTCCCAGTTCACTCAGAGTACCAGTGACCTCCAGGCCTGTACCCTCATCCCTCTCCTACTCCCATATGCTGATCTTCCCTAGTTCCCTGGGATTCCCACCCTGCCCTTTGTTGTATATCCAGACATCCTCTTGCCTTAGGGCCTTTGTATTCACGGTTTCTTCTGGAATGCTTTTTTTCTTAAGTATCCACACAACTATATTTCTTACCCTCCCCCAGCCACTATTCCTTCCTTTCTGCTCCTTTTTTTTTTTCCATAGCTCTTACCACCTTCTATAAGAGCATTTACTTGTTTTTGTTTTTTTTTCTTGATTCTCTTTCTCCTTACTAGATTGTCAGTTCTGTAAAAGCAGCAATGTTTGTCTATTTATTGATATACCTTAAGTACTTTGAAGAGGGCCTGGCATATAGTGGACATTTGAGATAACAAGTCAGATTCATGAACCACATTTTACTCAATATATTATCTATTGCTGTGTAGCAAACTGCTCCTTGGCCTACTGACTTACAGAAATAACCATTTATTTCAGTTTCTTTGGGTCGAGAATACAGGTGTGGCACAGCTGAGTCCTCAGACTCTCAGTCTTGTCTCGAAGGTGTCACAAGAGTGCTTTAAGGCTCAACTGGGTTAG